GACGTAAGACTCAAAAAGCCTAACCTATAATTTTTTTTAAAAAAAAGGATAAATTTGATTACATAAAAACTAACAATTTCTGTTAAATGAAATTCAACATACACCAAAGTAATAAACGGATTATGAATTGGAGGAAGATTCTGCAATGTCTAAAACTGAAAGGGACTAACATGTATAATGTACAAGGAACTCCTACAAATCAATAAGAAATTAAATAGGAAAATGGGCAAAAGACATGAATAGGCAAGTCAAGGAAGCGGAAAACAACAACAGACGAGTAGAGAAGAGATGCTCAAATTCATTAGCTATCAGAGCATTGTGAATTAAAACAAGATGATGCCAATTTACATCCAACAGATGGGCAATAATTAGAAAACTGGGTAATTCCAAAAACAATCCGACCCTCGAGTATGCTTGTTGGAACGCTGACAGAGCCACTCTGGAGAGCTGCCTACAACGACCTAGAAACATGAAGCATGCAGAAACCTGCAATCTCACTCCTGGTGTATTTCCCAAAGTCTCACATGGACCCACAGAGAACACGTAAGAGGATGTCTGTAGGGATGGCAAGTTCGAGACAACCTTGAGATACGGCGAAGTAAAACGTGGTGGATGCTCGTGTGGACTACTACACGGTGGTAACCAGATACACCTCTGCTGCACTGCTGTACTTTAAGGCTGGAATATTGAGTGAAAAAGTCAGAAATGGTTAACTACCACGATACTATTTACATAAATTAAAAATGCATACACACAGACTAGAGTATAAAGAAATATACAAATATATTTAGTATTTGAAAAAGACTGCCTATGAAAATAAGACTATTGTAAATAGAAAACAGAGGTAAAAGGGAATGTAGAACAGAACAACTGCATGGACTGAATACAAAACTCCTCGGCAACTGAGGTCCTTAAAAGCCCACTGCTTCTACATCACCCACACTTATTCATCCTTGAGGAGAGAACGATTTCCTTTTTAGAGAAACTGAAAGGTCTTTCTCCCAGATTTGGTGGTTTAAATTAACTTAAAATCTCTGTTCTCAGCCTCAGGTATTTCCCAAGCTTTCCCAATAGGGGCTCATCTTTCACTGGCTTTTAATCACCATCACCCCTCCAGAGCCTTCTCATAAGCGTAAGTCACCTTAACAATGCTTCTTTCCCTTGGCAGGGTCAGCACTCAGTGAAATGTTTCTCTTCCATGAAAAATAAGAGCCAAAAAGCCTATCTAACTATATTCAGTTCATCAGGTCTAGAACTCCGCGTACCTTTTACTCCTGGTCAGGTTCTAAACAGAGCGGATTCTCCCTGACCACTTTCAAAGTGGATTCAGGAATCTAGTTCTGTGGTTCCCCCACTTAGCTGGGGCATTCTGCTGCTGATACATTCATATGAAAAGGAAATGACATATTTCCTTTTTTAAGTTAAATAGGGAAGAGAAGGCCTTAAGTCCTGAGTAAGAGCATTATTCAAATAACTACATAATACCCCTCTGAGAGGGACAGGTCTTATTTTCTAACAAGTGATAAGATACTTCTCACAGTTTCACAGGTTTCAAGAATAATTGTACCGATTCCATTTATGAGAACCCTAGAATCAACAGGGTCACTAGCTCATCTCTGATGACTCTTCTTCTGAGTTACTACGAATTGAGTATTCACCCTCCCCCGGACCAGAACAGCGTTCTGTTACAGCACAGCTACTGTTCTGCCCTTATTACTGATGCTCTTATTTCCTAGTGTAACCACGCCCAGATTCCACTCAGTTTTTTCTCTGATTCAAAGTCTTTACCTAGTATAATGGCATTATGACTAACTTGCTTTTTTCACCCTTATTCTTCCACCTTTGTATGCCAACTCCCTTAATCATTAAAGACTTAGGACATAAGGTTAATAAAGCCACACTTCAATAATCATTGGGACAATACGTTTGGGTTATACTAAGGATAACATTTTGGCTGGCGTGTGGAGGCAGAATGGGCCACGGAGACCGCAGGAGGGCGCCATGGCTGATTCCAGAACTGGACACAATAATCAATCATCACAGCCTTTTCCCAATCGGTAGCACCCACAACCCCCAACTCCCTTAGTTCCATGACTGCTGATTTTTCCTTATATGATCTGTCCCCTCGAAACACCTGGGGAGCCAGGCCTTTGAGTGTTAGCTCGCCTGTTTCCAGGACTTGCAACTCTAAAATAAATCCTTTTCTTGCCGCAAAACTTTTATGTATGTGATTGACTCAGACACACGCGGTGGGCAGACGGGCCCCTTTAACTCCAGTAACACTACCCCATACATAACCTGTTTTTATGGGTGTTTATCCACAGATCATAACAAGGGATGACCTTACAGACCCGGAGCTCATGGTAAAGCTGAAATTATATTCAGTTCTTGTACTAGTTTTTTTCTCAATGGTGATCCCAAAGCCACCAAAATCAGAACCACTTGCAAATACTACTCCCCCTCACGACCTACTGGGCATCTGCTAATGTTTTAACACAGTGCTTCTCTGCTCTCTGGAGTTTGCAGAACGACTGCTCTAACCCTGAAATGGAAAATAAACATTCAGTGTGCTTTTTAAATAGTTCTCTGGGTTTCCTTATCGCTCAGTTCCTGAACTCTGGCTGAGCACAGTTAAGTGCTCAGTAACTACTTACTGAATAAGAATGTTACATCAGGCAAAACCTCCCCAGGACCCCGCTGAAAGAGGCTCCATCAGTCAAACCGCAAGTCCTTGCTCAGACGTTAAGAGCGCGTTTTGGCGCACGAAAAGCGGCGCGCTGCGGTGTGCCTGGGGAGCAAGGGGTGCACGTGGGAAAGATGAGGTGCACGTGGGGAAGATGAGGTGCCGTGGAGGAAGGGGTGCAAGTGGGGACGGGGTGCCGGCAGGGAGTAAGGGGTGCAGGCGGGGAAGACGGGGTGTCGGCGGGGAGGAAGGGGTGCAGGCCGGGAGGATGGGGTGTCGGCGGGGAGGAAGGGGTGCAGGCCGGGAGGACGGGGTGTCGGCGGGGAGGAGGGATGCCGGCGGGGAAGAAAGGGTGCAGGCGAGAAGAAGGCGTGCATGTGGGGAAGGAGGAGTGCCAGCGAGGAAGGAACCGGGGAGACACGTGGACGCCGAGTCTAACGGCGCCGCCCGTCCGCCCGCGGGACCTCGGCCAGCGGGTCAAGGGGAGACGCCACCCCAGGG